ATTTACAGCTACAGATACAGCTGACGATGTTTAAACCAAATCTTCCTGCAGCAGCTAATTAACAAGCTAGCCTACTAACAGAGCTCCAAACCAGTGGACATAGTGGTTAAAATCAGGTTTTCATTTCAAGATCCAAATTTATTTGCCAGCAGGTCTTTGGAAGAAAAATTCTGAGTCCTGCATGTCGGAGATTGGTCATTAAACTACGGTATCCAGTTTCCTGCACAGTAATTTAGCAACAGATGTTCTGACAGGAGTTTCCACAGGACAATTTTATCTTCCCAAACACTCAAAAAGCCTCAATACACACAGCTACAGGGTTTGATAAACTCACATCTTGCGTCTCATCACAATGATTTTGTGCAGGGCAGTTTAAACTTAACGGCAAATTGTGGGCTAATACTTGCATGCTTCCTCTTTGTTTTTATATGACTTGTTAACAGTTTAGGTTGGAACAAATGTTAATGTTGTTCCAGTTCATTTAAAAACAAAACCCTCAATAGGAGGTATTCAATTTCATCAATCTCATGTTTGGGTTTGAAGCCTCCAAAATGTGACAGTGTAACATTAAAAAAAAAATTCTCGTAGCGTTTATTTATTGTTTTTTAATTCACTCGCTTACATCACAAAGTGGTGCATAGTGTGTAGTAGATGTGTGAGTCACATTCAGGGATTTATTTAGTGCAGTGATTTATTTCAAAGAACATTTTATTGGCATGGAAAGGGGGCATAGTGGTAAAATGGGTGTCTCATCTGCAGAGGCTCTGCCACGTCGAGGCCTTCGCAACATGTCATTCCCTCCTCAGTAAACGTGGCCAGACACACACAAAAGGAAAATCTTGAAAGAAAAATAACATTTTACTGACATTAAATCAATGGATTTGCTTTGAGGAGGAAAAATACACGTTTTCACTTTCAGCAAAAGTTTCCAATACGCCAATAAAACTCAAAAGATTTGTTGCTAATCCCTTTTTGGAAACAAACAATAGAGAAGTCTGAGCATGTACTAAATATAGCAACAAAGCGGTTGGTGCGGCTGTCTGAGGATTACAAGATGTGGAGACAAAGACAGTCAGTGCACTGCAGCAACCAGTACAGTCTCTCTTTTACAATCAAGGTATTTCCAAGTGAAATCACAAATGGAACAAAGACTTGAGTTTAAACAGAGACTCAAATGTGAGTAATTACAAATCCCCCATGTTCTGAACATCCCAGCTAGTAAGAGTTTCTAAATAGTTTTGCTTTATAAAGCTGCTCTTGAACAAGGAGACTGAAGGGGCACAAGCTTTATAAGCAAAACATTGCCATGAAGTCCACAGCTTTAAGTATGTGAGTTTATTGTGTGGATTTGATTTGAGGAAATAATCTTGCTGCATATTGATGCTTCCTCTGTGGAGGATGAAGAGCAATGCTGTCTGCAGAGACATGCCAGAGGAGAGCTTGGCTGAATAGCTTGTGCTGAAATATAGGTGGGAAAGAGCAGCCAAGGCCTGTAAATCCTCACAGCCTCTGATGCTGAAAGACTTGACAGAGTGGGAGAGAGGACACTGTCAAATTCCCTGCAGGGAAATTGTCTGCACTGTAGGCTTAGTTTCTGACGGCTATACTTATTATCTCTCCCACCAGATAAAGATGTGTTTGACGTAGTGTTCAGCAGTAGACCCGGGCAACACAATGAAGCCCTTACACAGGCACCATTACAATCGAACAGAGAGCAATGAAACACCCAAAGCTATTTGTGGAAACCATGGGGGGGTTTTATGCTCTCTCTTAGATATTACATGTTCACCGAGTTACACTTTAACCTCTTATTGTGTAAAAATCTCCGTATCTATGGATTGTTGCAGGGAAATCACAATAAAGCAAATTATTTCTATTAGTACTGCGTAAATGTTAGTGCACAGTGACTTAATCTTGTATATCTGCTGCAACAATGATAGGCAGAGTGATATGTAATGATGTAAATAACACATATTGATGCTGGAAAGTTGCACATTTTCTGTGCAAGTAACCCTGAGTCATTTTCACAAACAGACTTGGCTGACCAAATTAAAAAGTGTTTTTCAAAATAAGTAGTCCCACAAAAAGATGATTCAAAGCTTCACCCATGTATTAACATTCAGAAAAGACACTGGCAGGTTGTGTCTTTTTCCACGAGACACTCTGCCTTCTGATGATCAGTTTACGGTGAGCAGGCTTTGATGGCATCAGTACTGATTAAAGGGGCGATTTAAAACATTGCTTGTTTTGACACCGTTTAAGAAAAGATCAATCTTCCTCGTATTTCTTAGTTACGATTCATAGTCAAAGAAAACCTGGATGACTGGACCTATGCACATTATAAATTTATAAACCATCACTTTGACTATCTGAAGCAGTTTTTCCTACTGGATTTTTCAAACATAATGGCTACTTAGTTATTAGGGACGTCAGAATAGTTGTTGATACAGATCATTATTATATATTTTTTATGTTTCAGACCCAGAGACGAACACATGCATCATGAAAAATATGCAACTAATAATTATTTCTTTCCTTAGTCAGTGTTTTAAATACTGTGAAGGCATACAGACAATTTAATTTTGTATATCTACTTTAGCAGTAAAAAATGTAAACAGCCTTGTTGAAAAAACAGACCTGTGTTCTTCCATCTTTAATGCACTTTTTGTTTGAAAAATAAATTTGTACAGATATTTGATATGTTTATTTGATTCCTGCTGCTTTGACTTCATATCAACATTTGTCACTCCTACTAAATTAAATTATATAGCAACTCTCATCACAAAAAAATTGGCACAGAAAACATTTAGATTAAAACATGTTATAGATATACAGTCTCTGTGCATAGCTGAAGGATCGCTGCTGGCAGGCAGTTTATCTTAAGAGCTGGGAAATGAATTGAATGTGGCTGTTTTGTTGTTCGTGTGTGTCGCAGCTGTCAGGTCTGTGAAGGTCAGCAGGCTGGTTTCATACTGCTCTTTGCTGTTGTAAGCACTTTAGATACACTGTCTTCTCCATGTTAATCAGTTTGGTGAAGCACAGGATGTGCTTTCCAACGAACAAATGCCTCACTGTGTGTTTCCATCTTTCAGGATTGCCTTGGCGATGGAACGCGTCCTAGACAGAAACATGAATGAACAATAACGTAGCTAAGCAGAGTTAGAGGTTTCTGGAGCTGCTTTTTAATATGCAAGCCTATTCTTTCTCATTCAGTCTGGCATATTGTGGTTCGATTTTGTTACACCTTTGGGAAAAGCTCCTGGAGAAGCTAAGATCTTGGATGCTGCAGTGATTTTATGAGCAGTGTCCGTCTTCCAAAAGTATTGAGGTTGTTTAGATGTTGTTACATTAAAACCCCAGGATCTTGTGGAATAGCGCAGAAATCTGTGATTAGTAGAGCTTTTTTGGCAGGTGGTCCAGTCCAGTAGTCCTTCCAAACTGAGCAAAGTTTTTAAATGTAAATTAGCTGAAAATGTCCACAAAATAATCACAATCTGTGGATTATTTTATCTACTTTAATTATTAGGTCAGACACCTCCTGCTCTGTGTCCTTACCTTCAATAGGTGTGGATTTTAGTGGATGTAATTATCCCATTAAATTTGTCAAAGACCTGAATAAAAATTCACTAACTGTCTTTATTTTTCAAGGTTGTGTTGGTTTTCAGGAAAATAAAAAAAAACACATGTTTAGTAGAATAGATAAAGATTACTGACCTGTTACAAACCAACAAAAACTAGAGCTGTGTGTTTGGAGGAATGATACATAGTCATCAAATTGTCAGGGAGGGATGAAGAAGACAGAAACTCATGAGAACTTCTGCATAGGAGACAAGAAGAGGGGGCAGCAACATACTGTTGCAATCACTTTCTTCAGAAAACCTTAAAGAGCAAGGCTACTGATGTCTTGAGACAGGGGTGAAGGTTGAGAAGATTATTAGTTTTTTGGCAGGATAACAGCTTAAAACTTAAAACCAGATCTACAACAGGAAGCTTATTCATTTGATAATTGAGATACTATTTTATGTCCTGTTTTCTCCAGACACTATCCATCCAGTTTGACTGACTTGTAGACATTTTGCAAAAAAAGAAGAATGGGCAAAATGTTCACTTTCTAGATGTAACTGAGGAAATGTAGGGAGGCTGAACTCACATTAACCATTTATCATTTCCCTCCAACTTCACGCTCTTTATCCTTCCTCACACTTTTCTCTTGAGTTCTCTTTGGAAGAAGCTAAGAAGGCATATTATTGTAAAGACAAACACCCTCACACCTCAAACAAGCCTAAGAAAATGCCTCGTCTGTAAGGCTGAAACAAAACAATGCCCCAAATCCCCATCCTCTCACTGACTCTCTACATATTGTTCCACGCTTACTTCTTGATGAATAACTATTGTAAACCTTGATAATTGGTCCATCCATTAATTTTGCACTAATGATATTGACTGTTACATTGCAGCTCGTAAAAAAAAAAAAAAAAAAAAGGCAACCAGGAGGGACAGCCATTGTCCTCACAGAGGATAATTGGGCTAACGGTGTGACTTGACACCATCGCTTTCCCAACGCGGCTGTGTCCTCTTCATCCTTGGAGCATGCTGGAGCATCGCCCATGTTCTGTCACTGCAGCTGCGTGTTATAATTTAACTCGGTGCTTTTAAAAGATCCGCTGTCCTCAGTATTCATGAAATCACCATTTACAACAGCAGTACGTACAAGCTGTAATTTAATTAGGCCAGTAGCTGCTGCAACACAAAGCAAACACCGAGAAGCTCAGTCTGAACTTTCAGGTAGCCAGGTTTATTTTTGTGTCTGCAATGGGTGGTGTAGCAACAAATGGTTGTGGAGTGGTGCTTTTTGTCTTTTAGCAGAGTGAGAACTGTATAATGATGACTAAGAGCTGGAAAGGCCATCACTCTTGGCTGTTTTTGCAGCTTTCAGCGTCATATTGGAGCTTCTGTGATTACTTTGTCATTAAAGCTTTTTTCTTCCCCTCTGCCTCCAGGGACACACTCCTCCAGTGGTGGTGAACACTGACACACTTGATGGCTCGCCATATGTAAGGATAACGTTTACTACTCTCTTTATTATCTTTTTTCTTTGTCATGCTCTATAGCTGTCCTCATAACTGATTGGTGTTATATGTCTTAGCCCTTTATGCAACGTTATTGCTGAGTATTTCACTCTGTGTGACCGTTTTAGGTAGAAACACTGAGTTCCTACAGAAATTTCAGGTGAAAAAGAAACATTTTCAATCCTTTTAGTAAACTTTTTATGGATAGACGGATGATTGGGCGGAAGGACGGGAGTTAAGAGTCAACTTTATCGTCAGTCGTCGGAAAAGAGGATGAGACTTTCCACAATAATGTTGGTTTTACAAAGTTGCAGCACTCAGAAAACTTTTTTCTGGGTCAGAACCCAGAAACAGCTGTTATGAAAGTTTCCTGTTACCACTGGGATTTTTTTTAATTACAGCAGAAAGGTTGGTATTTTTAGTTAAGTTGTTCATTCAGAAGTGAGATCAGCCTGACAGAGAAGTGTTGCCTTATCAGTCGCAAACACTTGATCACATTTCTTCACGATGATCCGATTGGTCATCATGGATCGTGTTATTGAAATTTACTGTGCATCTGGAATCATAGAGGAAGGTAAAAATTGCTTAAATATGATGGTTTCTCCTGACAGGTAAATGGGACAGAAGGAGAAATTGAGTATGAGGAAATCACATTGGAAAGAGTGAGTTTGGGAATTTCATATCTCAAATCTTTGTCCTCAGATTTTTGCTTCATAATTTATCACTAGAATCTAAAATCTGATTTTTGAGATAGAAGTGTTGCATCTGTGTCTTTTCTTTGCAGGGTAATTCGGGCCTGGGCTTCAGCATAGCAGGGGGCACAGACAACCCTCACGTCGGGGACGACCCCAGTATCTTCATCACCAAAATTATACCGGGAGGAGCCGCGGCTCAGGATGGACGGCTCAGGTAGAATATTCCTTCAAACGAGAAAAGGACTCAGAAATGGATGCTCCTGCAGCTAGGCACTAAAAGGCATAAAAAAAAACTCTCATACAATTTGATTTTTATAACAAAATGTAAGAAAAAAACTACTGGCAGCAAATCTTAGATATAAATATTGTGCTTTTACCAAATGGGCTGTGGCAAATTAAATGTGCAATTAAAATTAAGGCATTAAAGGGTAGCAGGACGTCATTACAGTCAAATACAATAAAGGTTTTATTTTCCCATTATGAACAATAAAACCGTTGTCTTCTTCTTAAAGACAATGGAATAGAGTTTCCCCTCTCAAAATAAGTATAATAAGCTCATAGATTGCTCTGCTGATTATGCTGCAATAGACAAAATATGCACAGGCATCTTCCTATTTCCAACTGACCTAAAAATGTCTGTCTGAAGTGACTGAAGCAGGAAAGCCTTTTATTAGTCTTTGCAGCTTGACACCAGCAAAGTGAAAACATTTCTCAAAGACTACGGCAGTTCTTGTTGGAAAATGCAGCTTTATTTACCAAAACCAAATTACTTATCCACAAACTGACCTAAAGCAAAAAAAAAAAAAGAAAAGAAAAAGTGACAGCTTTTATAAAAACAATAATCACACAGCGTCAACAGGGATTGGTTTATTCTGAAATAGGGACAGCTTCCTCTGGTTTAAACTCCCACATCCAATACCATAGTGTTGCAAACTCCTGCAAACCACCGTTTATGTTTTGGATCGTTATCATGTCCAAATGCCCAATGGGTTTCTGTCGTCGATTGACTTTGTATTTAAAATGTGGTGTTTCCAAAAGGTTTTGATGAACATGGATTCTAGAGCATTTTATCCAGCCGGCTGGATCATTGTTGGATGAACGTTTGAGAGCTCGGTGCTTCCAGTGTTACATTTCATAGTAAAACTTTATGTAAGCAAAGACAGCAGGATGATTTCCTAAAGATCAATAGTTTTCTGTGGTTATATCTCCATCTTCACCTATTCAAAATTCTGCAAGCTGTCATTTAATTTGCATAGTTTAGCTAATTGTTTTATTTCAGACCCAATAATGATGTATTTTCAGTTGAGCTGTGCAGTCTGTCAGACTTTAATACCAGGTATTTTAAGGAGTTGAAAATGCTATCTGCCTTAACATAGCCTCTGAACAACTATTGAACAACTCATTCTGTGTTTTCACTTTTCCCACCCACAGTCTATCTCTGCATCTCTCTCTCTCTTGGTTTTTTTAGCGTGAACGACTGCATCCTCTTTGTGAATGATGTCGATGTGAGGGAGGTGACACACAGCCAAGCTGTAGAGGCCCTTAAGGAGGCAGGTGCTATTGTCCGCCTCTATGTTCTCCGCAGAAAACCAGCAGCAGAAAAAGTCACTGAAATCAAACTAATCAAAGGGCCTAAAGGTAAGCAACTACAGCGTGTAAACCGTCAACCCTCATGAGCGAGCTCTCGGATGCCGTGCACCCAGCTCTGCCCTCAGGATTTTACAAGATCTGCTGTGTGTTAACCCACAGTTTCAGCTCCCCTCGTATCTCTCCTTCTTCTCAGGATTAGGTTTCAGCATCGCCGGAGGGGTGGGAAACCAGCACATCCCGGGAGATAACAGCATCTACGTCACCAAGATCATCGAAGGCGGGGCGGCTCATAAAGACGGCCGCCTGCAGATCGGGGACAAAATCTTAGCGGTCGGTCACTCAAAAAAATGTTAAATGTGCCAGTGCACCCACACACAAACAACACATGTCACAGACTGTCTGAGACCCACATCTTCTGAACACATATTCACACATTTACACACTCACATATTGTGTGCTGAAGCAGTAACAACACAGCGCCAAGATAATTACAGCTGTGATTTTTACTGCCAGACAATACTTTCATTACCATCTTAATATGTGTGTAGGACTGAGAGCTGTAAATATTTATTCGTATCGCAGCTAAAATGATTCTCAAGCAGCATTACTGCCATCTGCTGGACAAGTCAGAAAGTCACACAAGAAACTCCAAAATGATTCTCAGTTTAAAAGCTTTAAGTTTAAGGCACATTATGTGCCTCATCACGCGTCACTGATATGCAGCTTTATGGTTACCTTAAATTAATAGCTGAGAATTTATTTTATGATTTGATGGTTCTGTTACGTCTTAGGACTATTTCAGATAATTAAAATGATGTTATTAACCTTTTAACTGTCATCTTGTTTTGATTAGGGGGTTATTTACATTATTCATGTTCTGATTATGGTTTCTGGACCTTTTGTTTGTCTCTTTTTGCTGTTAACGTCATTGTATATGTTTGTGTGTTGGTGTCTTTTCCTGTAAATGGATGCTGACAATGTTGTGAACCAGTTTCCCTACGGAAACAAACAGCCATCTGTCTTGTGCATAAGCACTTATCCTCTAACAATCCACTGAGACATTGACTAAAACAACTAGAAAAGGTACAAACGATTTTTGTTTCTGTTTTTTGTTTACATCTCTTCTCTATCGGGAAGTTACGTTTACCGGGAATACTTCATATGTTCTGTTGTCACTGGGTTTGTCATCCCAGGAAAGTCTCTACTTTCTACTTCAGTTTTCCATGAAAATAATCAACATCTTTTCCATATCACTCAGCGTAAACAGAAGTATGTTGTACAACTGCAACCACAGTGAAACGTGTGATCCTGCAAAGAAATTTTATTTTATTTTACACTGGACACTATATAGTTACATGAAATAAATACACACTTGAGGCTCAGATTTGGAAAATTAATACATAAGTGAGATTTCTGCTGCAGACAAGATACTTGTTTCTGACATTTCAACCAAACAACAAACTTTGAACTGTCTCATTAAGAGTTCTTGTAATTTTTTTTAATCTTAATGTAATCCTGCTCATGTTTTCCTGCATTTCGTTACAAATCCAGGTGAACAATGTGTGTCTGGAGGATGTGATGCATGAGGACGCGGTGGGAGCGCTGAAGAACACAGCTGAGGTGGTGTACCTCAGGGTGGCCAAGCCAAACAACCTCTTTCTGACAAACTCCTACAACCCACCAGACCTCACCAGCAGTAAGCACATCTTCATGTTGATGTTTTTCCACTGGGAAACTCGATCTAACAGAGAAAACGTGAACACTGAATACCTCCTTATATTTCTATTAAAAGCGCAGTAATCAAGTTCTTCCACCTGAAATGCAAACACAACAAGAAATCAGTTCAGGTGAAAACTCATTCCATCTTTTGATGAATATGCACTGTTATTTTGGGGGGGGGGTTCAAATCTTTATTTCTGTGAGAGATTGTTGCTCTGGGAAAAAATGCATTTGGACATTGAAAAATATGTTGATGCTGCATTTGTATCAGTTTATCCAAACAGTATTCATTTAGTGGAAAAGGGAAACTATTCAAACCATCTTGGCAATATGTGGAAAAATGTGTGCTTCCTAAACATTACACCTCTTACTGACAAATGATCATTGATCATCACTATTTAGAAATCTTGGCCCACTCTTCTTTAAAGAATAGTTTTAATTTTAAGACAGTGATATAAAATTTAAGTTGGATTTAAGTCTATTTTGGCTTTGACTAGGCCACCGCAGAGCCTGCTTTTCAGTTTTTTTGAACAATTCAGCTGAATCACCGACCTCTTTTGTAATCACTTCATAAACTTATGGCTACATGTTCTTCTAGATTTTCCATTAGAAAGCAAAAGTAATGGTTCCTTCAGCTGTAAATTATTGCACTACCGCCACGTTTTACTGTTGATATAATGTTCCTTTTCCTGAAATGCTGTTAGCGTGAGGCCAGATGTTACAGGGCACAGACTTTCTAAAAGTTAACACTTTTATCTCATCAATCCACAGAATATTTTTCTTACAGGAATCACCTGCAAGGTTTTTTTTGGAACATGTAAAACAAGCCTTTGTGCTTTATTATATCAAGAGTAGTTTTGCACTTTAAACTCTCCCTTGATGCTATTTTTGCTCAATGTCTTTGTTATATTTGGTTCATGAACACTGACCCTGACTGAAGTGAGAGATGCAGATCTTTAGATGTCCTCCTTCGTTCTTTTGTGGCATCTTGAAATAATTTTGATCGGCTGGCTGCTCCGAGAAGCTGAGCTAAAGTTCGAAGTCTCCTCTGTGAATAAAGGTCTCCACTTTGCTGGACTCCCAAAGCTTCAGTAATGGTTTTGTAAACCTTCCCCGACTGATGGATTTTCATGACTCTGTTTATCATCATCTCACCATGTTTTGGCTTTCCAGATCTTTCAGTCTACTTTATGTTGTTAGACAGGGTCACCGATTCCTCAACTCTCCAGGTCTGGATGTGGTTTCTGAAGTTAAACTGTGGTTTAATAAGGGAGACGGTTACTTTTCCACAAACCCCAGGTTGTCTGATGTTACAATTTGTTTGATGTTCTGAAAAATGTAGGTGAAAGAAAAAAAGCAAAACCAGATGAAATATGTAATGGACAAATACTAATGTCAGAGCATGTAGCTTCTCACTTTCAAAAGTCATTTGTGAGGCTGAACGTTTACATTTATGAATTTTATGAACGTTAGCATAATGCTAAAGCTATTTCCTGTAACTTTTCTTTTACTAGAGCAAACTGTAGAGGAAACAAGCTGTATACTAAAATCCTGAGTACACTTCATTTCTGAGTTACAATAAACAGTTTGTGATTTACAATTCACTTATTTAGGTACGTACAGTGTGACGGAAAAAAAACGTATCATATTTTATGTCCAGGACTGCTCTGCTATATAATCCCTCTTTTTGTTTCTCGTGTGTTTTTCCAGCATATTCCCATATGGACACTGAACTTAGCCACCCCAACTATCTTGGATCAGATTACCCACAAGCCCTCACCCCCACCTCGCCGAGTCGCTTTTCTCCTGTCCTGCACGGCCTGATGGGAGACGACGACATACCCAGGTGATTTTTGAAGCACCACAGTTGTATCACTAATCCACAACTTTTTCCAATAGAGTTTGTATAACCAATTAGATGAATTCTGGTTGCAGAGAGCCTCGCAGAGTCTTGATTCACCGAGGCTCTACGGGCCTGGGCTTCAACATTGTAGGGGGAGAGGATGGTGAGGGCATATTTATCTCCTTCATCCTGGCAGGAGGGCCAGCCGACCTCAGCGGGGAGCTTCACAAGGGCGATCAGATCCTTAGTGTAACGACATCTTCTGTCACCAGAAAGTTGAAACACATATGCCTGCCAGATGGGGCTGTAAACATTCTTGCTGTTTGTACATTTCTTAGGTTAATGGCGTGGATTTGCGCATGGCCACGCATGAGCAGGCTGCCGCGGCTCTGAAGAACGCTGGGCAGACCGTAACCATCATCGCTCAGTACAGGCCTGAAGGTAAAACCGCTGCACACGTTTTCACTCCACTTTCCATGTAATTTGCATAGATTGCCTAACTGATTGCTCAAGCAGTAACACTTGCAGCTTTTAGCATCGAGGATGATTACATTTTTTATGAGGTTTCATTAGATTAGTGTCATCCATTGGAGAGATGAGCTTGATTTCGGTTTGCTACCTCTGGCGAAGTGTGTTCATTTGTTTACTGTGGCAGCCACAATATATCCTAAAGTCATAGCAGCGACACCAAAACATTGTGTAGGACTAAAACTCACTGATCAAATCACAGGAAGAGTCAGAATTATAGCGCGTTATAAGATGCAATTATCTCTATGCCACTTTTATAAGGTACATATTGTAGCTTTTACAACTTTTACATTTTAATGTAATGATATTCATTTCCATTTCTGAAGTTAAGAGGTATATTTTCTTTTGCTTGTCTTTTTTAGAAGTGAAACAGCAACTGGCAAACTGTCTCCTAACCCACAATGACAATCCCAGTCTTCCTGCAGTTTGTTGCTCTTCTGTTATTTTGTGGTGAAAAATGTCAATTAGGAAAATAAATATTTAAATCTTTAATCTTTGATCAATTTTCTCACAACTCTAGAGCATCTCATCAGTCGAGCTATCAGCTATAACTTTATGCGAATATTTAAGGCTTCTTGGCTCTAAAATTGGGAGATTTTAAATATCTGGACATTAAAAAAATGTATTTTTTCTCTCTTAGAGTACAGCCGTTTTGAAGCTAAAATCCATGACTTGCGGGAGCAGCTGATGAACAGCAGCATGGGCTCTGGGACTACAACCCTAAGGAGTAACCCAAAGAGAGGCTTCTACATCAGGTACTGAAGGAGAGCTCACAAGTTTATGTATTTTTACATGAATCCTGATGGTTTTATGAATAATGTTATGTTTTAGTAGATAGAAATGAGGTTGCTAGCCTTCTAGCTTCAACTAAATTATTGCTTATTACTTAAAGTAATTGTTACTCAGGATTAAAGATTCACTTAATGTGGTCACAATTAAGTGAATCTTTAAATTGTCTGCATAGAAATGGAAAATAAAATAGAACCTCGCTAACAATACAAGTTTTTTATAAGCTAATAATACTGCATAACAATTTTCTTTCCTTCAGCAGAGTCATAGCTGTGACTTTAGTTGCAACCCTTCTTCAAGTGGACATTTTGGTAAAACTGGTCAAATCGAAGCTGAGAAGCTCCTCATTAAATGCTCGTTTGAACTCTTACATCACTCAGGGCTCTTTTTGACTACGACAAGACGGCGGATTGCGGTTTCCTCAGTCAAGCCCTGGGCTTCAAGTTTGGGGACGTCCTGCATGTGTTGGACTGCGGTGATGAAGAATGGTGGCAGGCCCGGAAGGTCAGCCCGCAGAACGAGGCTGAGGAGGTCGGCTTCATCCCCAGCAAACACAGGTCAGGGAACGATCTTGCCTTGGGATCCAGCAGCTGCTAAGAACTTTGTGTGAGCAATGTTGTCGAATCTGTCATTTCACCAGGGTGGAAAGAAAAGAGTGGTCTCGTGTTAACACCAAAGAGAGGGTGAGTTCACTCACTACACTTTACATCTGAATTTTTCATGCATGTTGTAATCTTTGTTCTCCTCTGTATTGCAGGACCACGGTCGAGACAGTGTGGGCACTCAAGGTGATTAGCATATGGATGAGCTTTAGCTTGATTGTTCAGATTAGTCAGTCTTGAATCCATCTACCTGGGTTTGTTGACTTGAACTCAATATCTCTGTTTATAGATGAAACATTTTTGAGTTTCATCATGCAGAAGCGTAAAGGTCTCCCTCAGCCTTCAATGAACCGGATTTAGGGAAAATATTTGAATGTCTTCTAAATTAAAACAGCAGCGCTCGTCACAAATAAATACGTGTTCAAATTTAGAGACACACATGGAGAAACAAAGCCAGATCTCATTTTGAAATAATGAAAAGAACTGCGGCTGATTGCTGCTGTGCTCTGTCACCAGGGAGAGATAAAACCCCACACAGTTATGAGACAGTTACTCAAGTGGAAGGTAAGACCTCACAGAGGCATGTTTTGAGCCCGCTTTCCAAGTCTTTAATGTGACATTTCATTTTTGTTTTTATTTCTCTTTTGTGATTGAAGCCGCTCTGTTTGCTCTCTCTCTCTCTCCCTCTCCCTGTAAGTACATTACGCAAGGCCGATCATCATTCTGGGTCCAGTGAAGGACAGGATAAATGACGACCTGTTGTCTGAGTTCCCTGATAAGTTCGGATCCTGTGTCCCTCGTGAGTAATTTTGCTGTCGCTCTCGGAGAGCGATCTGCTCCGTGCTTTTTGTGCGACGTCGCCGCTGCCACCAGCAGAGGTTTTAGGATGACGTGTGAATGAAAGCGATTGTTTTGATTCTGAGATTCATAGCGGGATGTTCGCCTGCATTCATTTGACTCTGCTTGTCCTTCCTTTGACAGACACAACGCGGCCTAAGAGGGATTACGAGGTGGACGGGCGAGACTATCATTTTGTGTCCTCCAGGGAACAGATGGAAAAGGACATCCAGAGCCACCGGTTCATTGAAGCCGGGCAATACAACAGTCATCTGTACGGCACCAGCGTGCAGAGCGTCCGCGAGGTGGCCGAGCAAGTGAGCAGCCATCTTTTCCTCTCTGCAGAAACAACACAAAAAATCATCTTATAATACGAATGGTTTCTATGTAAATTTACATGTTTTAAATTAGACAAGTTTAGTCATCTAAAATCTTAGAATGTACTTTATTGATCCCCGATTGCTTATTTGTTTTCAAGCGACTCCATCTATGGTGTTATATATCAATAATACAAATATAAATAAAATATGCACGAGAAAAATACGTCACTAATTACACTTAGTCTCCGGTGTCTTATCGTCCAGCCAGTTAGCAGCTTAATCAAAACTAAACTTGCTGTTTTCTTTTTATAGCCCAAAACAATTCATGTCAACGTTTGTTGTTTTTCTTTTTGTCTGAGCAGCAGGGAAAACACTGCATCCTGGACGTTTCAGCTAACGCTGTGCGTAGACTACAAGCTGCTCAACTTCATCCCATTGCAATCTTTGTCCGGCCCAAGTCACTGGAGAATGTTTTGTACGTATTTTAAAAGAGATTCCTTCAGCGATTATTGTTGCAACAGAAAGCGGTGTGTGATGACGTTTCTGCATATGGCGTCACCAGAGAAATCAACACTCGACTGACAGAGGAGCAGGCCAGGAAAGCAATGGACCGAGCCCTCAAACTAGAACAGGACTTCATCGAATGCTTCTCAGGTAAAAGCAGACATATGTTGGGTAAAAATACACTTTGTTTATTAATCTACGTTCCTCCATGTTCTCCCCGTGCTCCCGGGTGTTCTCGCTCCAGCTTTTTCCCACAATCCAAAGATAGAATTTTTATTTTATCCTCAGATGAAATGGTGATCTATCCTCACCTAGTAAATAGTAAATGGATGGATGGGCTAATAAAACATTCTTTTACCCATTTTTAATCATTTTTTCTACATTTTTTCCTATCAGTTCAAATGCCAACACATTGCAATGGCCACATACTCTGCCTTCACAATGATAAGCTGCTTCTGTTTAACTGAGTGAGTTAAATGCTTTGAGCCCTCCTGGTGCCTTTTGGGAGGGCTCAGAGCGTTTTAACATTTCACAGACACATTTAGGGCAAATCTCCCCAGTAGTCGGAGCGCGGATGCCAGGTTTCTTCTCAAATCTGGTGCCGACAGTGATTTACAGCCAGTCACAAAGAGTGAGAATCGTTTTCCGGATGTGTGTTTTAGGTAAAATACGACGCGTTCTACAGCATCCTGTGCATTAAATCTCAGGATGCTGTGATTTTTTTCAACGTTTTCTCACCTCCTCTTTGCTTTCCGGTGGCAGCCGTCGTGGAAGGGGAGAGCTTTGAAGAGGTTTATCACAAAGTAAAGACAGTGATCGAAGAGCAATCAGGGCCTTACATCTGGATCCCCACTCGGGAGAGGCTGTGATGCTGCAACCGACCCGACCTGCCCTCGCCTCCCAACCCTCACAGCCACAGACCGCCGCCGCCATCCGCCATTCACAGCCGAGTCTCCAGCTCCTGTCCTCCAGCGAAGTCCGTGCTTAGGCGACCGCCGCTTAACGACACAGAGAGACTAATGCCTGCAAAGAGCGGGAAAGCACGGGAAACGACACCGCGAGGCAAGTAAGGATACCAAAAAGGAGACTCTTTTTTAAGAAAAGAAAAAAAACAAGGTGAACAAGCTGATGTGTAGTTCAACTGAACGACATCGGGAGAAAAGATTTTAGTGCAATTTTACTTAAACCATTTAGGATCAGTTGGTATTTAGTATTAAAATCAACGCTGGATTTAAACAATGGCTTCACCAAAATTAACTTGCATTCAACAAAAATCCAGTTTAATGTTTCGGCCATTGAAAATCCACTTTAGGCAAACTTTAACTGCATTTTGATCCTGTATGTGAGCTGCGGTCCATGTTCTGTGGATCTCAAAATAGTGTAGATGTGTCTGAGTAGACTTTGGACTAAAGCAGAGGTTAGACCTCACTCCTATGTGACGGTTATCCCTGGGATGGAGATGCTAACAAAAGAGCCTTTCAGCATCTCTGTTTTTTTTAAAACAACCTCCTAGTATCTTTGGAGAGTACTTCAGATTCTAGTGAGGCCCGCTCCCTTGACCAGGAGTCTTTTCTCAGCACTTTTTGTCAACCTCTTCTTGGTTCTTGGTGCACACTTGAAACAACATCTCCGTAACCAAGACAAACATTTCTTCTGTTGCCCATTTTAAATATTGTGAGGCGGATTTTAGAGGCGTTGCAGTTCATTTTGATTAAAAGCTCATTAAGCTGAAGCATGCATCTTCACTGATGGAGTTATCAGACAAAAACAGAGGAAAGAAAAGCATCTCAGAAAAAATAGGAAAAACAACGAACGGCTAAAAGGTGCAGGATCTTGCAAAAATATTTGAACTTTCTCACGTTTTGTTATGTTCAAACCACAGCCTTGTATGATTTGTGACAAGTGAACAGAATATTGTTCATAATTGTTAAGTGGACGGAGAAGGATTTATGCTTTCCATAGTTATTTTACAAATTAAAAGTTGAAAAATCTTGTTGTGCATTTGCATTCAACCCCATGAGTCAATTCTTGGTAGAAACTCTTTAAAATGCAAAAGCTAAAATGTCTTCATCTAGTCTGGAAGAGTCCAAAGTTTTGCTCATTGAAACTGGATGGACACTGTGTGTCACGATCAACTTTGAAGCTATGCCAGAGATTTGTTATTGGGTTTAGTTCTCGCCTTCGACTGGGACATTATTATTCTTTGCAGCGTTCCATTGCAGCTCCTGCTATATGTTTAAAGTCTTTTCTCGGAGATGAATCTCTTCCCCCAGTGGATTGTTCCCAGGATAATCCTGTGCTTTTCTCCATTTATCCATCAGATTTGACCAGCTTTTGTGTCCTTGTTATAGAAAAACATCCCACAACATGATGCTGCCACCACTCTGTGACTGTGTGTGGACGGCGTTCTCAGTCTGATGTGTAGTTTTAGAAAGTTATTTCAGCTTTTCTATCTAAAAATTCTTATCACTTCTTAATAAGGGTCTCAATATAAATATGCACGGCTATTTTCACATTTTTATTCACTGAATATTATTGAAATTACATATCCCTTTCTTCCCACTTCACAAATATGCACCACTTTCTGCTAGTCTGGCTCGTAATACTTCAACATTTGAAGTTTTGAGGTTGCTGCATGACAAAACGTGGTAAAGCTCGAGATAAATGGATCCTTTTGCAAGGCACTGTGTGTTCTTCTTCTCTGCCTCTTCATTGCAAAGGAGGGTTTTAGCATGTCTTATAAAAGAAGAGGAGTAAAGAGACGAGAGGCTGGCCATGAGCGGAAACTGATAATCCGACACGGTTTGGCTTCTTACGCACACACGCACCTGCACGCAAAACACACGTACAACCTCGCATCCCATCCAGCGACCCTCACACACATGTGGAGTTGGACCCTCAGCTGTGAACCTGGCACACCCTCTGCAGCTGTCAGAATCCAGGATGAATGTTATCTCTCCAGGCACAAACAGCAGAGCTCTCGGCTTCACCTTGCTGGTCGCTCTTCCAGGAGATCCCCTTCCAACGCGCATACATGCACACTGTTTCCAGTGGCTGCAGTATAAGCCATTGCGTGTGTGTCTGTATCCGTAAGCATCTCTGCACAGCTGTGCATGTGTGGAAACTCCTCTGTGTGTGTGTGAGGAGGAATAGGTCTTCTTTTATTCTCTCTCTTCCACTTGTCTCTGCTTCTTTCTCCCTCTCGAGTCCACACAAATTAACTATAAGTCATGTTTAAAGACTATAAAAAAAAAAGAAATGGCCTCTATATATAAATATATATATAAATATATATCTTTTTTATGACAATTTCTAACAGGACTAAGTCTGTAAAGAATTATCAACATTTCCAAATAATATTTCATTGATTTCTTTGGGTAAAATAGTATTTTGGTTGTTGGGTTTACCCCCATATTCTCATTTATTGTTGTCAAGCAAAAAGCTACACAGATGGAGAAAAAATTAACCATTTAAAGCTGATGTAAAGCAAACGTGACATAAATATGAAATGGTGATATTTTGGGGGAAAAAATGTAAAAAAAAAAAAATAATAATAACTAATTGAAAAACATGTGCAATGCAGCTGTGTGTCTCTGTGTGACTGAATGTGTGTGTTTGTTGCAGGAAAGCGACCATTATGTATAAAATATAGATAATGCTATGAGAGGAATCCAGCCTATGGTGGTTATGATGTATAATACATAAATGAGTGGCGTGAGGTTGTGGGTGCGTGCATGAGAGGGTGAGACACACACGTGAAGATGTAGTGCAATACTGCTATGATGTTATGCAATGAAGACGGTTTTATGTGTAAGATTAACAAGAGTATCTATGAAGTTTGCACTGATGGCTATTAAATGCTTGAAATGTCAGCAGGACAGAAACAGCGACTGAAGGAGAAACGAAACGAGAAACGGGAATTTTAAGAGCATGTGTTTGTATTATATGTTCTGAATTATAAGAGTGAATATGGAAGTATTGATGGAAATAACCATTCATATTTATTGTTTTTGTTTACCTGCTTCTCTCAGCACAAAGTGGATCTGCTTTTTAATGAATGGCAGTTTTGGGGTTTTGGTTTTCAGGTGCATGTAAATAAATCCGGAAAAAACAAAGAGATTATAATCAAAAGTCACTTTACTTCTGTAATCAACATGGGAAATTCACATGTAGGTTCGCTGCACACAGTGGTATATTTCAAACTTTTATTTCTATTAGTCTTATGATTATGGCTTGCAAAAGATTTGACTATTACAAACCAATTAATTAATTAATGAAGAAGAAGCTGCTTGTTCGCAGAGTACAGGCAAAATACTGGAAAGTTTGGTGGAAGAAACACATGGTGACAGTGAACAGAGTCAGTATTTACAGTGCCATTCCTTGAACGAAGCCTATCCTGCACTGGAAACAATATCAGTGTCTGAATATTTACCTTTTTGCCCAGTCTGTTAAAAGTACCAGTGTAAAAAAACAGGTTTATAAATTCAGATCTTGTATTCAGTGCATGTACTCCACACTAGGCCTGTCATAAATGTGATAAATAATACTTTTGTTTTGAGACCATTTTTGAGTAATATAATGGCAAAATTATTCACATTCTCAAAGATCAGTAAACCTTAAATTCTACTGGACATTGGGACCGGAAGACATGTTGAAAATTCAAAATAAATAAGTAAAACAACAAATAAAATCAAGTTTGAAGTCTTTGTAAACATAATTGCCCGAGTTGAGACCAAACTGAAGACTTTTATCATCCAGTTTTTGGTAGAAAGAGAGGGGAAAAAAAACAATAAATCAATGGAAATGATTGAGTTTATTTCAGTTTTTCATGTGATTAATCGATTGATTATTGTGACTGGCCTATACAGTACATGGAGTTACTTTTCAATATGTTATCATTCCTGAATGTAAAATGTTCTTTTATTAGTTTTATGTCATAGCTTGACTATAACTCTGGGAAATTTAATTCTTCATATTTGTTAGCTGTAAGCCATAGTCATCAGAATTAATGAAAAAAAAAAAAAGAAATAAATCAATGTGTTCAGAAGCCACCTATTTATTGAGGTTCACTTTTTTAAATTGAATTTCTGGAAAAAAAAAAAAACTTTTCGATGATATTCTGGTTTATTAAGATGCATCTGTTTTATTTATTAAGAACTGTCACTAACGCTCCATATCAAGTCTGTATATTTTTGTATTTTTCTTTCTTTCTTTCTTTTTTTTTTTCGGTCTCCCCCGCCCCACATTGAGGAAGCTCTTGGGTCTTGGATGCAAAACGCTGTAAATACAAATAATGTTTGTTTTTTTTCCGCGTGGCTCTCGGCGATCACTATCCTAAACGAGACCAAGTACGAGAACCCTCCATGGGAGCCACGGGCCCAGTTTAACCGCATTTACACACTCTGGGTGGGAAAACACACACACACACACACACACAATCTCAGCATGTCTACACATGCAGCTACATTTACTACACCCACAGAAGTGACAACTCACACTCATTGATTGAATAATATGTTTTCGGTTTCTTTCTTTGAGGGTTTCAATGTATTTCTTAATATCTCTCTCTCAGCCATCCGTATCATAGTGTGATATTCCTTATAAAGTATATGAATTTTTACAGAAAAGACTGATTACAAAGTTACAACTGATGCAGAAGGATATATTCAATAATGACATTATGAAGCAAAATAAAATGTTCCAGTTCAGTGAAGCGCTTGTTGTAAATTAGCTATAAAATAATAAAAATGGATTTAAAAGTGCTTTCTGAACACTTGGACTCGGATGCCTTCTTGTTTTTCTGGTTTGTTTAAATGGTCCCTTGGAGTTCCACAGGTGGAGATTAGCAGGATGACCAGTGGGGGGCGCTCATCCTCTACGTTTAGCCTCTTATACAATCACCACTGGCTGCATCTGCACAGACTTGCTTTGTGTGTTTTTCTGTTTTTCTTGGATGACGGCTTCCCAGCATCCCAACCTCATTCCCCTCACTGGGGAAAACATTTTCTTTCTCTGGGAAACATTTAGTCATGAACATCCCTCGATCTGATCACATGTTCAGCTGTAGGGCATCAATGTCTGGATATCTGAGAATGTTAAGACACTCAAGATTGTGCATGCATGATCCTGCAGCCAAAATCAATCATTCAGCTGAAAAAGCAGAACCAACTCTTTGTTACCGACTCGTACTGACACTGAACTCTTCTTAGTTTCTAAGACTTTGAAGAACTTAGCAGAAAACACTTTTTTAGTTTTAGTTCACATTGTTTCCACAGTCAGTCAGTTTCACTCCAAGGTAAACAGTCATTCAGGGTTTTTAATGAGGCATTTTGACGAATGTTTTTTCACCGGGAAGTTATGACAACATCGAAAACCTTGTAGAGATGTTTAAGATAAGAATTGGTTGCACAATTCAGAATTTAATATGTTCCCTGATCTATGGATAAAAATCATTTAGCTTGTTGAAGAATAATCATCAGATTTCTGTAGCCATTAACAAGTTTCTGGCAAAATCCTGGCTGTGACTTCTCTCCTTTGCAGAATTGGCAGAGTTGATTTAAATCGGTTGGTTTGCTGGCATAGATGCTCTTGAGCAAACTCCCTACATTTTTTAATTAGGTTTAGGTCAGAGCCATTAGGGAAACTTCATTTTATCCAGCTTTATCCTTTCCAAGCCCAGTTTTGACGTGAGTCGGTGTGTTTATGCGCTGGAAGATTTCGCAACTTCTGACAACAGTAAGCAGAACATCTGGATGAGTCGAGGTAAGAAATGAAGTGGAGCAACTTTGAAGCACGGTGGAGGAAGCATGTTGCTTTTAACTTTATGTTGTTTCTCTGATTTTCTCAATTAAACTTTATAATTTCAAGTTAACAAATGCTTCAAGAAGGGCTGATCTCCTAATGGATGTTTTTCAGAAGAGACCTTTTGAGCCTGTAGAGATTCAGGAAATTATTAATAAATTCAAACTTTGTGCAGACCTTCCCAAAAATCCCAAAACTAGTTCAACAGTCATGCTGATGACGAGGGCATGTAAACATCCGACTGGAGCTGCTGGCTCAGAGTTGAGATAAAATTTTTGTGGATGTAAACAAAACAATATGTGCAAATCCTGTGTGGAGCTGCTTCACTCATCGATCTCTGTGAGTCTTCTCCCTGCTGCATTACACCATCTGACAGTGACATAGAGAGTGAGAGAGGAAGAGTGGGAAACATCCATCACGGGCCATAAACGGGATCCGAAGCTTCAAACTAGTGAAGATCTCGCGCTATTGGGTTCCTCCCACCCACATGATTGTGTTATCCCCCAATCACTCATTGTGTCTCCGTCCATGTACCAGGTCTACCCACAGGCTGGCAGAGGAATGTGCAGTTGGACTCTTGAGGAAGACAGATGCTTCGCAGATGGATTATTGGAAAAATGGCCAAAGCAATATCCTTGCTTCAAAATTAGAATGAGAAAATTCCTCTGTAATTATTAAATGGTTTGCGATTTAAAAACCTCAAAACGTTTTCACTGCACATATGCTCCAACGCTCGGGTGTTTTGTTTCACTGCCATTTCGTGCTAAAGAGGAATTAGCAGTTTACACTCATAGAATAATTCAATTATGCATGTGATTTGCTTCAGATTTCACTTCATGAGAGAAGAAATAAGGAGACAGAGTGAGATTAATTGTCAAACATTTGAGTCTTACGAGTCTAGATGGCGTCTAAGTGACTTTCTTTTTGAACTGCAGTTGATTCTGTACACAATCACAGCCTATTTTCAGAATATCATTTCCCCAACATTAACCTTTAGGTATGTTGCAAAAGAATTCATGTTACTTCAAGTGTTCGCATGTTGCAATAAGTTTTTTATTTGAATTTTAAAAAGAATGCCAGCACAAAATAGTGTGCAAAAGTAAAGCAGAAAAATAAAAAAAACTGTGGTTTTCTAAAAAACAATCTGCATGTGGTTGAATTTACTAGTCAATACTTTAAAACTCTTCTTTTCCTGCAGTTCTGTCTGTCGAAAGAATTCTGTCTATTTCCTTTGCAAAACAGCTCACTGCTGCTCATGTTTGATATAAAACTCATGTAAATTATCATGTTTCAGTTTTACTACACATTTCTGAATCGAGTTTGGTCTGGACTTTGACTAGACCTTTCTAAACATGCATATTTGTCCCTCCTACTGTATGGTTTCTGTCACTGTCCTGCTTCAAGGTTCTGCAGGATCACCTTGTATTTGTCCATTTTCAGTGAAACTAGTTTCTCCGTCTCTGCTAGAGAAAAACCTCCCCACAGCATGATGCTGACCCCACCATACTTCACCATATTTACGGTGTGTTCAGGCTGATGAGCAGCATTCAGTAATGTTTTGCTTTAAGGCCAAAAGCTCTAAAGCTTTTGATCTTCTTTTTTTCTGTTACATGATTAATAACAGCTTTCCTTCAACAATAGTTTGATTTTCATCAGTCCTCTATGTATCAAATGTGATTTGTGGTGTGCATGGCAAACAGTTGTAATGCCGCAGGATTCTGCCACCTGAGCTGTGGATCGCTGCAGCTCCTCAAGAGTTACCAATGTCCTGGCATGTTTCCAATTGTGTAATACTCTCTGGATTCAGAAGATCACGAAACAGTGATCAGACAGGTGTTGAGAGCTTTGGATGTTGTTTTATAACTTAAACCTGCTTTAAACTTCTCCACAGCTTTGTCTCTGACTTGTCTGCTGTTTTTCTTTGTCGTAACGAGGCTGTTTGTTCACTGACGTTCTCCAACAAACATTTGAAGCCTTTACCAACAGCCAAATTTATACCAAGACTAAATTATGCACAGATGGACTGTATTTACTGTACTTAAACAGTGCTTGCACTGGATTTTATTTAGGAGTATTAGGAAGAAGGAAAAGAATAGAAATTACAGTTTTCAAAAAGAAAATGGAAAACAATGTCCCCTTTTCATTTCGCTTCTTATTTATCCGCTTCTTTGTGTTGGTTTACCTCATTAAATCCCTGTGAAATACACTGAGGTTTCTGGTTGTAACATAACAAAAATTCCTTGTTCAGAAGGCTGATGCTGCAGTAAAGCATCTTTTTGTTTGCTGCTGTGGTCCAGGCTGCGGTGACAGAGGTGGATTCGGATGAAAGGACAGCAGGCATGCATGTCATGTGAGAACTGCAGAGAAGACTCAGTCGAGGCTTATTTCAAAGTAACCTCAAAATTTCTGAACTTCTGTCTGTGTGCCTCCGTGTGGGGAAAACCAGCGAGGCATCTCGGCATAGCATAAGCACTCAGAAACCTCAAAGCCAGCATTATCAGCAGGCAGAGCTGAGGTATTTTTTCCAACCTTTAGTTTAGCTCTGAATTCAGCGAGAATTCAGAGCTAGCCATAAATTCTCATGGTCTTATGAATTTATGGTTGTAAAAGGTTTTATCAATATGTTTTTTGTAATTAATAAACCTTCTTATTGCATAAGCTTTTGCTGTCTGTGAGAGATTTCATTCCTCCTGAAACCAGATGATTCCCCAGCAGGCATTTTTCTACCCAGGAGCTTCAGAAACCTCACAGAATTTATTTTGTTAGCCACAGACTAATTCCTCCAAGATACTTCCCTCACGCAACCAAGTACACTGACAATAAACAGAAAGCTGTCAACTTCATTTGTTACCTTTAATTACAACATGACAGCTGCGAGCCCGAAGAGCAGGATCAAACACAGATCCTAACCACCTTCATCTTCTCTACTTTGCCTCACCCAGCAGTGGTTTTGTCTCTCTTATTATTCTTCCTCTTGCTTTGCTCTATCAGGTTTTCATCAAACTGTTCTACAAGATAACTTCTGCTCTGTTGTGTTGTGTAAGTAAGCCCTCACTTTGGCTGCGTTCCTGCTCTTTATCCATATCACTGGTGTCTGCGTGAAGATTGCTCCTCAGATTGGCGCTCGGCGGGGTGTGGCGCTGGATTCTGCCGTGGAGATGTCACTTTGCACGGCTTTTGAAAATCATCGCCTTCTTAAATTCTTACGACCAGATAACAGGCACTCCTGTGGTTAAATCTAATGGGTTTCTCTACTTTCCTCCGACGCTTAAAGCTTTGTTGAAATCCAATGTTGTGGAGGGAATCGCACTGCAAAAGATATGGCACTTTGTTAGGTGAAATAAAAGAGATCGTGTTTCACGCCTGATGAAACAAAACTGTGACCATTTCACTGCCGTCAAGACGGCTTCAAAGGAGTGTTACCTCACTCCTTTCTTCAGGTGTGTTTTGTTTAATCAAAAATCACAATTGTAATTGAAAATGTAAATGTAATCCAGTGGGATTCGCATGACACCGAGAATCTCTGCAATGTTGAACCTTCAGGTGTCACTTCACAAGCTGCATTTGCAAAATGAGAGCTTAACCAGTGACTGCTTGCAATGTCATCCGGAGAAAATGCTTGCATTAATTTCCTGAAGGTGATGGAATAATAATCCCGGAATTGGTAGTGATGACCTTCAGGAATATGCAGTCTCTGGAGTTTGAAATATTACTTTTGTCCTTGTGGAAATAGCACACAAAAGCCCAAAAGCAAACAGAAGAACTGGTGCTGCCGCATGAGAGATCACTGGAGATTCTGGAGATGTGTGTTTGAACTGCCGGCTTGAAAAAAAGCATCCTCTGCTCATTACCTGCCATACACCATTATCTCCCTTTGAATTTGAATTAAGGTTGTTAAAGATTTACACCTGGTGGCCTAATTCATTGTTCTGGTAAAGGCAGAGAGCCACCTCTCTGTGCAACATAATTA